ACCGTGGCCGCGAGTTGCGCTGCAGACGCAGCGGCCACGTGTCGCAGCGAGTCCGCAGAGGGCTGCGACCATTGCAGCACGAAGCGCTCCACTGCTGGGCGGATAATCACGACAGCCGGCAACAGCGGAGGTCAAAAGGTTAAATAAATGCGAAGATTTTCAAAATGCGTTCAGCAAAAAAAAAGAAACGGGTCAATGTGTTTTTAATCCTGCAGGCAAACCTGAGGGGTTGTGGGAATGAATCTGGCACAACGAGCCTCCTCCTCCCCCCCTTCACAGACCACACGCCACGTATTTTTTTAGCACGAAGCATTTCGAGATTAATTTTACGTACGTTTAGCTTCTTTTGCACCGTACGTAGCCAACCGTGCTAATCGGAGGTGCGGGGCTGGAGGGAGTGGTGGTGGTGGTGAACGACAACAAACTAAACGCAGAAATCAGTTCGGAGGTAACTGAAAATAAATTAAAGTCGTGCAAAGCGGGTTTTTTTTGCAAGGCGTTTAACTGCGAGGGCGACTCACAATTTAGCAACGGATCCAAATGTATCCCGTGCCAGTGCAGACACAAGTGTAGTGACAGGTGTCACCCTGTGTCATGACACAATGTGATTGTCTCGAGATGTCATGTGCGTGTGAATTCTGCCCCACCACCACCGTATGGGTTGGCCATTTTTCAGGCACGAATTTAGCCAATTTGTGGGGATCGTAACAAGGTGTGAATCCACAACACGGGTTTTTTTTCGTTAGATCGCGGAAATATAAATGTGTCGTTAAACCCGCCACCACCCGACATAGCCAATGATTAAGGTTTGTCACGTAAACAAGAACGTGCCAATTCGTTACTAGTGCAGCACCTCCGGAGTGTATTGGAGAGCAAATCCACGACATTTACAATCGGAGTAAGGTGTCAATTGATGTTTGTGGATGAAAAAGCGTTAAACGTGGACCGACGAGTATAAATAAATCAGTGCAGTGACGTCGGGCGGAGGAAGAATAAAAAGCAAACCGCATGCTTTGACATTTCACCAGCAGCACCCTCTCCCCTAACGTATTGAAGCCCACGTTAAACATTTAAAGGTAAAATTATCTAAGAAACAGCAGAGGCGTTATACCCTGTAGAATTCATTCCATAAATATAAACATTTTTGTTAAATATATATACATACCTATACGTATTTATATATGTATACTGTATATGTACAGAAGACTGAACAAAAGCAACGGGATGAGACAAATTTGTGGGCACGGCCGCGTCCGTGTGGCTATCTCGGACGAGTTCCTTTTGGAACCCACTTCCAGTTCCAATTCTGAAGAAGCGCCGAAGAGGCTCGTGGAGCGAAACGTCGGACAACCAAGCGGCAGCGGCCTCGGCGATGTCGCTCGGAGGGGCAGCAACCATTTCATGTTCTGAGTTCCAGCCTCGTGGGGCGCGCATCGCACCGCTCACGATGGGACTCCATCCGGCTGTTTTGCCGTCAGCGCGCCCTGCACGGGCAAAGCCCTCGTGCTGAGCGCGCGCCGTTCGCACTGCAACGCGTGAGAACGCCGCGTTGCAGTGCGAACGCCGCGTTGCAGTGCGAACGCCGCGTTGCAGTGCGAACGCCGCGAACGCCGCGTTGCAGTGCGAACGCCGCGCTACTTCTACCTTACGTTAGGGAACGCTTTTTGCACGACGCGGAACGCACACACTTTTATAACGCGGAACGCGCAGAGTTGTAACGGGCACCGTTATAACGCGCAGTCGATGACGAACTACTTTCTTGACATGCGCATTTCGAGCGGTACAGTGACGCGGATTGATACAGTAACGCGGCGGCGTACGTGCGTGTGTGCAGCGTCGTAGTCGAACACCGTCGAATATCTCGCCAGACTTTATCGTGACGTCATTTATGGATATCTCGCCAGACTTTATCGTGACGTCATTTATGGATATCTCGCCAGACTTTATCGTGACGTCATTTATGGATATCTCGCCAGACTTTATCGTGACGTCATTTATGGATATCTCGCCAGACTTTATCGTGACGTCATTTATGGATATCTCGCCAGACTTTATCGTGACGTCATTTATGGATATCTCGCCAGACTTTATCGTGACGTCATTTATGGATATCTCGCCAGACTTTATCGTGACGTCATTTATGGATATCTCGCCAGACTTTATCGTGACGTCATTTATGGATATCTCGCCAGACTTTATCGTGACGTCATTTATGGATATCTCACCAGACTTTATCGTGACGTCATTTATGGATATCTCGCCAGACTTTTATCGTGACGTCATTTATGGATATTTCGCCAGACTTTATCGTGACGTCATTTATGGATATCTCGCCAGGCTTTATCGTGACGTCATTTATGGATATCTCCCCAGACTTCATCGTGACGTTATTTATGGATATCTCGCCAGACTTTATCGTGACGTCATTTATGGATATCTCGCCAGACTTTATCGTGACGTCATTTATGGATATCTCGCCAGACTTTATCGTGACGTCATTTATGGATATCTCGCCAGACTTTATCGTGACGTCATTTATCGATATCTCGCCAGACTTTATCGTGACGTCATTTATGGATATCTCGCCAGGCTTTATCGTGACGTCATTTATGGATATCTCGCCAGGCTTTATCGTGACGTCATTTATGGATATCTCGCCAGACTTTATCGTGACGTCATTTATGGATATCTCGCCAGAGTTTATCGTGACGTCATTTATGGATATCTCGCCAGACTTTATCGTGACGTCATTTATGGATATCTCGCCAGACTTTATCGTGACGTCATTTATGGATATCTCGCCAGGCTTTATCGTGACGTCATTTATGGATATCTCGCCAGGCTTTATCGTGACGTCATTTATGGATATCTCGCCAGACTTTATCGTGACGTCATTTATGGATATCTCGCCAGACTTTATCGTGACGTCATTTATGGATATCTCGCCAGACTTTATCGTGACGTCATTTATGGATATCTCGCCAGACTTTATCGTGACGTCATTTATGGATATCTCGCCAGACTTTATCGTGACGTCATTTATGGATATCTCGCCAGACTTTATCGTGACGTCATTTATGGATATCTCGCCAGACTTTATCGTGACGTCATTTATGGATATCTCGCCAGGCTTTATCGTGACGTCATTTATGGATATCTCGCCAGACTTTATCGTGACGTCATTTATGGATATCTCGCCAGACTTTATCGTGACGTCATTTATGGATATCTCGCCAGACTTTATCGTGACGTCATTTATGGATATCTCGCCAGACTTTATCGTGACGTCATTTATGGATATCTCGCCAGACTTTATCGTGACGTCATTTATGGACATCTCGCCAGACTTTATCGTGACGTCATTTATGGATATCTCGCCAGACTTTATCGTGACGTCATTTATGGATATCTCGCCAGACTTTATCGTGACGTTATTTACGGGGAAATTGTTTTCGCTTCTTTCAGGAACGCGTCTCCTGCCGCGTTAAACGAGGGCCCCGCTGTAACCCGCGGTTTCTGCAGCAATGACCCTGCGCGCCTCTGCTGCGCTTCTGCTGCACATTCGACCTTTGACGCCGACACCCGCTCACCCATCCTCAATGCCTCTCCGGTACAATCACGCGAGGACACATTTCCGACTTCCCCGCAAAGTACTAACGCGGGGTTTTGGAGATAATTCATAGCAAAAGCAAAGTTCCGGGGAGACGGGACGAAAGTCTTGCCGTGACGCACGCAAAACTAAAATGCTAATTTTAAAAATTTAATTTAAAAAATTTAATGTCAAAAGGGCGGCGTGTGTCCGATAACTTTTCACGTTTGCAAAGGATCCTCCGTCGAAAAGAAAAATCTATCTCGGAGCACGGTCGTGCGACGTTTACATCCGTTTGAAAGTGCGACGTGTAACACTGTACGGCATTCTGCAGCCTATTTATTATACGTTGAACTTCTTTCGCACCGTACGTAGCCAGCCGTGCTGATCGGAGGTGCGAGAGCGTGGATCTGGGAACACCCGCCCCCTACTGGACATCTGTGAGAAAGAGCTTCATAGCTCTTCGGATTTCTCCAGGATGACTACAGATTATGACTTCGTCTGCCTGACTTCCGTGGTTCGCAGCTCCAAATGGAGCGATCGTCCTTAAATGTTCCCACTGCCGCAACCACGGAGATAAGAGAGACGGAGACACAGGCGCAGAGACACGCACAGAGATAACAACAACCGCCATTCGCCACTAAGTGGTGGTGACGTCACCACGACGCTTGTGCCAGGCTAGGTGCACGTTGAGGCCACGTGAGTGTCGAATGCCCGCTGGCAGGAGGTCACGGGACAGACCCAGGTGCCACGGGTCAACTGAGATGACTGGCCAATGCACCACCTGTGCCCCCTACTGTGCCAACCTGTGCTTTAGCCACCCGGCGCTCCGCTCGTTATGAGCGTCGCTTCTTCCCCCTCCGTTGAGGGCGACTGCCTCCAACTGCCCAGTAGCATCCTTCACGAGCCTCCTCCACAGAGGCCGATCTTGACACCGCTGGTACCAGTCATCGGCAATTCCACTCAGCTCCACATCCTCCTGTACCACATCACTCCATCTCTTCTCTGGCCCGTGCCACGCCCGTTTAGCCCCCTCGATCTGGCCGAACAAAAGCTGTTTGGGCATGCGGTGGCTGGGCATGCGGGCTACATGACCAAACCAACACAGCCTTGCCTGCCGGAAGAGCTCCCCGATGGGACCTTGTCCACATCTTTCAAGGCTAAGTGAGCTCCTCACACAATCCAGCCTGGTTAAACCCAGGATGGATCGTAAGCAGGCCAGCCTAAATGTTTCTAACCGGCGAAAATGTTTCATTAGGGGGGTCCACGTTTCGCAAGCGTAGAGAAGGGAGGGAATGACCGTGGCCGAGAACACCTGAAGCTTAGTGCGGAGCGACAAACCAGGTAGCTTCCACACAGCGTTACGCAACCAATGAAAAGATATTGCCGCTCAACTGATTAGGAGCGAGACAGAGACACCACACACAGAGAAATCACACACACAGAGACACCACGCGCAGACAGATACATGCGCAGACAGAGACACGCACAGACAGAGGCGCACAGACGCACCACACGCACAGAGACACACGAACGCATCGGCTAAGAGGCAGATTTGGCAAAGAAGTAACTCGGGGTACCGGCTCCACCGCTGCCGTGGCAGGCGACCGACGCGAGAGGCATCCCAACGCACGGCTCATCGAGCTGCACGACAGCCAAACAAGGGGCAGGCCGCCGCCATTCCGCTGGGCGCTGCGGGATCATCCGCAGGGAGGAATTCCGCGGAGGGAGATCCTTGACGTAAAATATTCAGAGCCGCCGACCTCCTTCTGGGCTCGCAGTGCGGGAAGAGTCTCTGCCAGAAGGAGCGCCCCCATCCCCCTCCTGTAAGAGGGTGTTTTTGGCCTACTCTTCCACACCGGCCGGACCTGGGCCTTCCGATCGACCGCGGCGGAACCCATTGAACGCTGCCGGATGGACAGACGCTGCGGTGGTGATGAGGATTTAGGAAAGGCACTGAGCCTCACTGGTGTCAACGTGGCCACAGCGGTGCGACGGTCAGCAGCGACGGTCAGCAGCGTCCTGGACTTGCAATCCAGAGGTCTCTGGTTCACTTTCATCTTCTGGGTCGTGGCAGTTACAACAGCGGTGCCACATTTCTTAAATCCTCACCACCACCACCAGTCTTCCCATAAAACGCACTCACTGATTTTCCCCTCCTTACCCCAACTCCCCTTCCCCATCACCAACTCCATCCCTCTTCCCAACGTCCCTACCCATCTATCACACTCACTCATCATCATCAACCACTCACTGTCGCGTTCATCGTCGTTTGTGTCACTGTCACTTTCATCAAGCTACTCACCATCCTTCAACGCGTCAACTCATCACACTATTCCCGCACACCTCCGATTAGCGCGGTTGCCTACGTACGGTGCGAAAGAAGTTCAACACACATACCGCACACGCATTCGACTGTACACATTTCTAATTCCCTCTTAAGCACCTTGCACAAGGCGCTACATAAATATAAAATAAGATTCTGGGCGGGGGTTTCCTTTGGAGCGACACGGAGCGCCTGTCCTTTTACCCACCCTCTCCCCCCACTTCTGCTTTGCAACTGGCTCTGAGCGCGAGCCTTTTATTCTTGAGTCTCGCCGGAGGCTGCAGGGAACGGTAGCCACTCCGGGGGGGTGGAGATCGCGACGCTCGCCTTGGCGGGCGTTAGGTCCTTTTTATTACTTTGCCCGGAGAGTTCCGCGTAAAACCGCCGCCCGCAGCCGCTCTCCTCGCCCCGTGCGGGAAGGGCGAAGCTGGGGAGGAAAGGGAGCAGGGTGAGGGACAAGAGCGAAACAATGTTCACGTGGCGCCGGGCGAACGTTTGCCAGACTTTTCGATTGAAATCTTTCGTGACTGCAAGAATAAGTTTGCCAGACGTTAGAGGGTTGCCACCACGAAGAGCTCCCCGCGGGACGCTTGCAACGTCACGCCTACTCTTCCTTCCGTACGAGGCCACTTTTACCCGTCGCAATAACTCACCGGCTGTACCGGGGCTTAGACGCAGCCTGCACACCAACCGATACGGGCACAGTCCCACTTTTGACAATCTACTGCTGGATGAGAGCCTCCACACACAGCCGGGGTCGTCTGACCGTACTTCACCGTGCCGGTCAACGTAGAACGTTGGGAGCATAGTACAGTACAGCTTCAATGTCCTCTGTTGGGCAACAAGATTAGAAACCGACCGTATCTCTGATGTATTATGGAACAGATTGGAACCAGGCTAGCCTCGCTGTCACGAGAAGGAGTTTAAACCCTCACGGATTACCATCCTGCGGTAAAGCAGAGCACGTAAGTGGTAGAGGGCCCGGCAGCGGTGGCACATCCAACGGCGTTGCTGTCCCATGCACAGGCCACCCGAGATCGACTCCTGGCCACGGCTAACATCAGCGGCAACGGGTGTCCTGAGAACACTGGCTTTGCCAACGTGCACGGACCAGCGTGGCGAAGTACGGACAAAGATCCCCCGTGATCGACGGGGATGGCTTCCGTCCCCTGGGTGGAGTGAGAGTGGCTGGAGTTTATTTTACGCTTTATCTTATTTTAGTGGCACACGCTCCACGGGTGACCCTGGCGGAATAGAGCAGCGAGATTTTGCCGTGTGAGCTGAGGCGAGATGTTATCTCCCTCGCCTCGTATGCAGGAGGTCGTGGGTTCGATCCCGACCCGACGATGCCTGTTGCTGTATATTTGGAGGTTGTGTGTCTCTCTCTCCCCGTGGTCGCGTGGATTTGTATCCGGGTCCTCCGGTTTTCCCCTCCGCATTTAGATTCAACATCACGTGTTTGGAGTATTTACAGATTGAAAACTCATTTATTTAGAACTGCTTGTTGTTGTGTTTAGTTTGTTGCCCTTCCCCAGCACCTTTCATTTGCAGGGTTGGCTACGTAAGGTGCAAAAGAAGTTCAACATACACACATACAACATACGACCCAAAACGCGAATATCGCATTGGCAGTTACGTTTAAATAAAACAAGATTTTGTTTGTTTGTTTTAGAAACCCGCACCGCGCGCGCTCACTCGCTCGCTCGGCCGTTCGACGCGCAGCCTGCCGCCCGCAGACTACCTGTGGCCTCGCACGTCCCGGCGGGCGCGCGGCAGGATGGGAGGGAAGGGTGCAGGGTGGTTGCAGGCGTAGGCCGGAGCAGCCCCGCGCGTCACCCCGGCAGGCACACCTTCCCGGCAAACAGCAGGCCCACGATGGTGAAGAAGATGGAGACGATGAAGAGCACGTAGGAAGAGCCCACCTGGGCGTTGTTGGGAAGCTTGTAGGGCTGGCCTCCGACCTCCTCCACGTAGAAGCCCACGGGGAAGATGAGGGCCGCAATGCAGAAGAGGACCACTGCGGAGGAAACTAAAACTGGGGAAAAAAACTAGCAACAATTTGTTTTTATTTAACGGGCAAGGCCCCACTCCCGAGCTAGAGAGCTCTTTTTTTCTCAGAAGCAACCTGGCTATCACAAATGATAAACCCAACCAAGTGGCTTACCATCATCACGTGCAAATTTATTAGTAGGCAAATACTCAAAACGCACTTTGATGTCGATTCTAAATGTGGAGGGGGAAAACCCGACCATGGGTGAGAACAAATTTACAGCAGCATCAGCAGGTGCCAGGGTCGGGATCGAACCCATGACCTCCTGTATACTAGGCGAGGCAGTTAACATCTCCTAGCCACCGTGGCGCTCCCAAAACGACGTGGTGGCAAGAGAGAGCATCGCGCGCTTGACCTCTCCGAGCCTCTCTCCTCCGGGAGATGATTTTATCATCGCGCTCGGCGTACGCGCTAGTAGAGCGAAAGCTCCGTTTATCCCGACACTTTACCATCCGGAATGCTCCATTACAACCACCGGCATCTGTCGTCGGCGGCAACAGAAATATTCCCTCGCGTCGTTTCGGAAAAATATTCTGAGAGCCACCCGGCATCTTGCCGTGTGCGTGTGCGCTTCTCGTAGCTCCGTTGTTGTCGTTGTCGTTGTTGTTGTCGTTGTTGTTGTCGGTGTTGCTGTTTACGGGGGCTTCAGAATGCTGCTGAGTGATGGCGCTAGTGGCAGACTGTATGTATATTACTGTACTGCTGTGTACTGCAGTACAGTAACCGGCCCCTCACTTATTCTTAGTTTTTTCGGTAAAGTCACGTTGAAGAGAAACAACAAAATAACAAATTATATATAAAACAATAAAAAATTCTCACGACGTTTCGACCATAACTCAAACGGTCATCATCAGGTGTGTCGGTTTGCATAAATTTATTTTGAAAACGGCATATTTATTTATATATATAAAAATAACGTTTGCGTCACGCGCAAAATAACGCAAACGTTATTTTTTTATATATATAAATAAATATGCCGTTTTCAAAATAAATTTATGCAAACCGACACACCTGATGATGACCGTTTGAGTTATGGTCGAAACGTCGTGAGAATTTTTTATTGTTTTATATATAATTTGTTATTTTGTTGTTTCTCTTCAACGTGACTTTACCGAAAAAACTAAGAATATGAATTACTGCAGTCACGAAAGCTTTAAATCAAAAGGCCCCTCACTTCTTCTCTACAACAACATAGAATTCTCTAAAACTGACTGGTGAGTACCGCTATAAAAGAGTATGTTATTTCTTGGTGTAGGTGAGGGAGTGATGATTGCGTTCAGACGGGACTCTTGGTTTGCACGCCGAAGCACTAATTTTGATCGCGGCCGTTTTAAGAAAGATTTATTGCCGATAGCGCGCCGGTAAATTGTCCCGAAGCCAGCAAAGCTCTCGCGCAGAGACAACGCAAGAGCTGCTTAACCCCCACGGAAAACTAAACTGAAACTCGAACTTATATTTTTTATCAGGTAAGGCCCACTGAGAGCTTGCTATACAGCTCTTTTTCAGAAGCGACCTCGCCGTCACAAACGATAGCCCAACCAAGTGGCTCGTCATCATCTGCGCGGGAATTTATGGCAGCCAAGTGCTCTAAAACGCGCGACGTTGAATCTAAACGTGGAGGGGAGAAAAGAAAACGAGGACCTGGAGAAAAGTCCTTCGCCACGACAGCGTAGTGGTCAGCACTAAGACCCACGCGAAAAGGATACCCAAATGTGTGCGATGCCGTGTAAGGAATTGGTGCACACGCATGACTAAAACACTCAATGGCCCTTGAGGCGGCAGAAGGGCTTTTGCCCAAAAGACGTTACCTCTTATATTATACTAACTTTTCCTCTTGAGGTAGGGCAGTGTAGTTCAAATGTTCAAAAAGCATGTTGCGATGTTTTTTTTTCAAAGGCGGCTTGAGCCATATTGCCATTCCCATCGCAGGAAATGAAGTTTAGTTTTTTTTCCCGAACCGTAAATTTGTTTGCGTCCCACTCACAGCTCCCTCTCTCTCCCCTCGGAGGCGCGCTCAACCGGTGACACACAAGCAGCCCGGCAAAATGCTTTCCCCTAAAGGGACCGATCGTCTTACGCCTCCGGCAGCAGACAAGCCGAGCCGCATCGACCACGTGACCCCGTGCCACAAGACGCGACGCACGAGGAGTTGCCTTCCGTGGCGCTCAAGGAGCGCGCGAAAGCCTCCAGGGAGTAAAAGCGACGCACGGGAGCAAGCGCCGCGGCCAATCCGGGCGCTCAAGCGCTCCCCGTCGTCCTACAAGAACGGGGGCAGGAGGTCGTGGGTTCGATCCCGACGCTGACGACGCCTGCTGCTGTATATTTGTAGTTTGCGTGTCTTTTCTCTCTCTCCCCGTGGTCGCGTGGATTTTTATCCGGGTACTCGGCTGTTTTTTTCCCTCCAGATTTAGAATCGACGTGCGTTTTAGAGTATTTGGCTGCTGTAAATTACCGCGTGATAAGCCGCTTTGTTGGCCAGGTCGCTTCTGATAAATAACTATACGGCTCACTGGGGCCGTACCTGGTAACATAACAATTGTAAATCAATTAAAACAGACCCGGGAAGGAGGAGCGCACGTATAGAGATGACGAATCTCAATGGGCCCTCTTATCTGTTAAAATAAAGGACGATGACCGACCTACACTGATTGAGGTTACACCCTGATTAAGGGAATTCAATTGGCTGGGTGACCGTCCCCCTCCAGTCATCGCCGCAACCGCGGTCGAGAGACAGCTCCACAGCTCTGTAACCAGCAGCCGACTCCTCTCCCTAACCCCTCCGTGACGCAGGCAGCCACAGAAGTTGGGAGCGATCTCTCGTGTCAGCGGGGAGGCAATCCGGAGCCAGGCTCCAGGGAGCGATCCCCTTTCACTGTTTTTTTTTGTTTAGGCTTCTGCATCAATCCACAAGCAACAACCTCCGCTTGCAAAACATTCCGTTAAAAATACATTTGGGTCGGCCTTTCCATCGCGGTTATTCGCTGCTAACCCCCCCCCCAATACCACAAATTAAGCGAACAAGACGGGGAAGTGAGCTCCATTTTCACACTCGCTTTGCCCAAAACGCTCCTTACAGCACCGCGGTAAGTTTGTGCGCAATGTTGCGATTTGCGTTGGACAGGGCCCCATAGCACTCATGGGTTCCTCTTGCCAGAAACACCTGAAGACTCGGCAACATCTGTTTCACAAGGCTGACCCTGCTGATGACAACTTCCATGGTAAGGTAAACTGGACTCCCATGGTAAACTGGTCTCCCATCCATAACATTATTGATGATATTGCCGACCTCTGGGGTGGGGGGGGAGAGAACCGCGACCGCTGGCGCCCGGCGGCGCAGCCGACTCACTGGCGGCGAAGGCGATCCACCGGGCGTGCACCAAGAGGTCGCGGCGCCAGCGTGACAGCAGCAGCAGGGCACAGGCGGCCGTGAGCAGCGCCACGCCGCACACCATCATCAGCAGCGCCAGCAGCCACTCGGCGGGCAGCCGGGGCGGCGTGCACGCTCGCTCGCGCCCGCGGATCGTCTGGCACTGGCGCGCCAGCCCGATGGTGAAGGCGTCTGCGGCGGAGGAGGAGGAGGAGGGGGGCAACGGAGCGAAGTTGGTACCAGCCGTGCACGCAGCGCAGCACGAGGCCTTGCCTGCTCGCGACGGTTTTGGAACGTCTCCGTCCAGCAGTGGAGAGATTGCGGCTCGCGTTGGAGCAAGCGCAACGCTAAACTGTGCGCCGTCGCCTGTCCCTTCCCATCGGCTTGTTAGCGACGATGGGAGCCGAACAAAGGTCCGCAGTGGTTCTCCGTCTCGTTCTTACGTCAGTATCACCGCTTCACTCAGTCTCTCTCCGTATTCTACAAGATCCTCTACCGCTGCGTCCATCTTCGAGGATTTGTTTAAAACATGCATAAACCATCACTGCACAATCTCCGGTCATCCTCGCAGCAGCAGCGGCCTTTGGCTCACCGTCGAACAAAGACGGTCACCACGTCGCACGCTGCTGCTGCTTCGGATGCGCTTCTGCGGCTGTCTGGAACGCTCTTCCTTCCGATATCTGGAAGCCACTGGAGCTATGAACTTTGAAATATAAACTGAAAACTAATTTCTTTCGAAATGCTTTTCGTCTTTAGTTTGTTGTCCTTCCCCCGCACCCCCCGATTAGCACGGTGGGCTACGTACGGTGCGAAAGAAGTTCAATATAGGTACATGTACATACATATCCACTACTCAAGATCCTGTCCTGATTCATTCGCGCAAAACCGTATGAAGCTGTTGTATAGCTACGCTTTGTTTAGAAAATGTGTCAAGCTGAACCACATGTCTGTCATGACAAAATAAGCTGCGTGGACAGATGAGGAAGAGTAGCATTGACACGTGATCCGGAGCAGATTTCCCCAACCTTTATTTCACGATACGAAAACATGGAGAACATTAGACACAGCTGAGTTTTGACATTTTATCCCAGCCATCCGTAACTATTTTGTAATGTCAAAGATTTATCATGCGTGAAAGTCACAATGCCGATTGTCACCCGCTATCGATCTACATTAAAAGCAGGAACCACGGAAAAGGGCACAGCTTGAGAGAGCTGCATTACCATCGCCACGATAGATTGGGAAAAAAAAACCCAGCTGGATCTTTTGAAAATGCTGCAGTGTCCATTACACTCACCATCGTCAAATAACGGGAAATCCATTTTAAGGACAGGCGTACCGCAGAGAATTTATCTGATGGTATTTATTAAATCGCGGTGAGACCTAATCCTCGTGCGCTGCACGAACACCGCCGGAAAGAGAAAGAAAAAAACGAATTGCGAAATTCAAACTGGGCGATGAAGCGAGGCGGCTGGCTTGCACTGTACGGTGCTGCTACGCGGAGTGAAACATAATAATAATCACTGTCACACGTTCAACGTAACAAGACGTACCACGCGCTATCAATTCATTCGAACAAAAACTTCCGCAAATTCAATCGGATGCCAGCCCTGCTTATAAATTGACTCGGCAGGTTCAGTGAATCAGGTGATCAATCGTGGGTCTGTTACTATTCTCAGGCCCGGCCACAGCTGTGTTCAAGACGCATCGCCGTATCCCCACAAATAAATCAGAAACGTGCCGCATCATCCAGGGGCGCGCTGTTCGAGCATTTTCCCTCTCCCGTGATCGTTGTGCCACCGCTAAGATCTGGGCTGGGTTACTCGCGTGTGCAGGGGGTGCCATGGTGGCTAGGAGATGTTAACTACCTCGTCTGGCATACATGAGGTAGTGGGTTTGATTACGACCCTGATGCCTGTTATATATTTGGAGTTTGCGTGTCTCTCTCCCCATGGCCGCGTGGATTTTTTTTCTCCGGGTCCCCCGGTCCTTTCCCTCCACATTTAGAATCAACGTGCATTTGAAGTATTTTCTGCTACAAATTTCCACGTGATGATGAGCCGCTTCGTTGAGCTATCATTTGGGATAGCTCGGTCGCTTCTGCAAAAGAGATTAGTGCGGTCTTACCTGGTAAAATGCAAATAATTTAGAGTTTAGTTTCTTAGTATTTTCCACCGTCACCGTGCATTGCTGACGCTGTGATTTTAACCGAAGGCTGCGGGAAATCCCAGCGGTGCTCACAAGTCAAATATCGCGCAGGATTCTCCTGAAAAATGCAAAAAAATACACACACTCCGGCTAAATCATTTACCACGGCCGAAGGATGGGTGGTTAAATTTTAATGACTCGAACGGCCCCGCATACGCCACCTGCTCAGGAATTTCATTCTCGTGGCACGCGACCTCCTTTAACCCTTCACGTTCAAACCCATGCCCCCCCTCCCGCTGGCACGGGCAGCGATGAATCTCTCCCGCCTTCGCGCTCCGAGGGAGCAGATAACGTGAAATGCATCGCGCGAAATCGAAATGCGTACGTTCGGCAGACATCGCCACAATTCGTTGATTTTTTTTGCGTGCTTCTCGTTTTCTTTGGTAACGCCGCGATAAAAGTGGAGAGGCCGTAATTGGCAAGGGCTGCGATTGCAAAGAGAGCTGCCTGAAGCGATTCTCAGATAGGCCACCGCAGCGGCGGTAAATTCCAGACCTCTGTGGTTGACACTGGAAATTTCATTTGCATTGTTTGAGGTTAGTCAGTCTATGAATCCAATTTTTGGCTCGCCACGATGTTGGAAGGGATATTACAAAATAAAAAAAAAATGCAAGGAAAATATATAAATTGTCATATAAATCTCCACATTACGGATTGGGTACGAGGGTTTGTTTTTATTCAATTTGCGTTCAGCGGCGATTTAACACTCCTAAAATATTATTTGCACGAATATTAACAATGCCATCGTTAACACTGAACTAAATGACACTTTTTATTTGACCAGGTAAGGCCCACTGAGCTATGTAAAGCGGGATATCGATGTACCACGAGCCGTGAACATTTTTAGCAGCCAAATTACTGTAAACGTGTGATGTTGATTCTAAACATGGAGGGAAAAACCGGAGGATCCGGAGAAAAATCCACCCGACCACAGGGAGAGAGACACGCAAACTCCAAATATACAGCAGCAGGCGTCAGGGTCAGGCTCGAACCCAAGACCTCCTGCATACCATGCGAGACAGTTAACATCTCGCCACCGCGGCTGAACCCACTGGGCTGCAAGGGGTTGCCAGGATTCCGGAAGACAGGAGGGGAGAGGATCGCAAAATGTCAGCATCCATGTGTGGGGACCTTTTCTGAGTGGGGTCCCCTCACATGCACGGATTTTCTACAGGAACCCAGAGGTTGCCCACTGCCCAGCCAAACATTCCAATTGTTAGAGAGGCTTTTGTGGACGAACAACATTATTATTTATGCAGAACAAAAGTTAAATAAATACACAGCTATTCCTTGTTGACCTGCAGATAAGTGGCTTTCATCTCTAATCATTATTAAGAAGTGAAATTATTGGCCCACTTTGTGGGAGGCAAAGGTAGCCAATGAATGCCAAATGGCTTGTTACTTTGATTTCCTGACCTAATTAACCAGAACGTGATTACGTAATCGTATTCAACGGACTAACACTAATCAGCTGTGGCTGGCACCACTCTTGATTCCAACACCAAGCTGGCAGCGTGCTGCGGTGGAATTCGAACGTGGTATTTGTTCTCACGTCAACAATGCTATCTTTAAGATCCGGGACTTAACTTACAGATGTTGTAATTTTGTAACGCCCAAGCTTATGGACGTAACACGAGGCTAACCAAGTATGCTATAGAGAGTAGTACAACTAAACATAATAATCAGAGTTTACAGCGCTTTGTCTTTTCACTGCTGGATTAAGCCCCCCCCCCCCATGCCGTATCAGTCATGGGAGTTGTTTGACCATACTTCACCGCGCTGGTCGGTGTGGATTAGTCGAGGGCTGAACAGGAGCGGCTCAGATATAAACTATTAAAACTATTTTTTATTTTTTTATTTTACCAGGTAAGGTCCACCACTGAGCTATGTAGCTCTTTTTCAGAAGCCCCCTGACCACAAATGACAGCTCAACAAAGTGGCTTATCATCACGTGGAAATGTAAGGCAGCCAAATACTCTAAACGCGTGACTGTGATTCTAAATGTGGAAGTAAAAAAACGGGAGGACCTGGGGAAAAATCCACACGACTCCGTGGAGGACGAAACACGCAAACTCCAAACATACAGCGGCAGGCGTCAGGGTTGGGATGGAACCCACGATCTCCTGAATACCTGGCGAGGGAGATGGGAACCTCACGCATGATGTAAGCCGTGGCTGGGAATCAAACTCCGGTTGACAGTACCGTACAGTACACCATCCACTGCGCCCGTACTCCAGCCCATTCCGGCCACGTACGGCGCGAAGGAAGTTCAACGTTCACACCTAGAGCGGGGGTTCTACAACCACAGAGGTCTCAGCTGACCACATCGGGCGTCGCGCTCCGATGGGCCAATTGTTCCACTCCACAAATCCGCCACCGTTGAACGATACAAACATTTTGCTTGAAGGGCTGGAAAAGTTACGGCGATTCACAAGCGCGCCAACCGGCAGGTTGCGTGCGGTGGGGGTAGCGTGTGGGCACTCCCACCTGCACGGGGTGAGAGGAGGGGGCTCCCTGCGAGTGTCGCGGGTGGGGGCTCGTCCGCCAGCGGTAGAGCGAGTTTACGAAATTTCGGCCTTTACCATTGGACACCTTCACCTATGGTCACGAGCTTTGGGGAATGAGCGGAAGGATGAGATCGCGGGTACGAGGGGCCGAGATGAGGTTTCTCCGCAGGGTTGCCGGGCTCACTCTCCGTGATCGGGCGAGGAGCTCGGTAATCCGGGAGAGCCTCAGAGTCGAGCCGCTGCTCCTTCGGATCGAGAGGAGCCAAGTTGAGGCGGTTCGGGCACCTGGTAAGGATGCCCCCCGGTAGACTCCCCCTGGAACTCTACTGGGCATTAGCAGCAGCAGCAGCGTCCCACTGGGCCAAGACCCCGGGGCCGGCTCAGGACACGCTACTGGCAGGACGATGTCGCTCGGCTGGCCTGGGAACGCCTGGGAATTCCCCCCAGGCAGAGCTAGAGTCTGTGTATAGTGGTGTA